ATTTAGTTTTTCGTCGAATTTTCGTAATAATAATTTCGTCGTATCACGATTACAATTGGAAACATGTGTACCTTTTCGTTCTAATATATCATTTGTTAAATTACATGTATGTAAACGATAATGACAGGTAAAGCGTTTATGGTTCTCACAGCGCCAGTACGTTTTTAAATCCGTTTAATGATCTTTTACATATGAATATCCGTCGTCAACTATGAGTGGTCGACCTTTCGTAGTTATAGTCATTTCACGTTGAGAAGTCATAGTACAGAAAATTTCGAAAGTGTATAGTAGTGTAGCACTATATTGCACAGGACTATATTTTATAGTATTATATTGTTTACGAAACATCATCGTTTAGTTTAGTTTATTAACAATAATTAATTATGTTCTTTAAAAACTTTAAGCTAAAAAAAAGCTCATTTTGTGTTACGTGCGCAAGTGTCCGTGCATAACAACCTGGTGCGTAAGATTCCTGTGCGAAACATTCCTCGTGCGTAAGGTACCCGTGCGCATGATTCCGTGCGCAAGTTTCCTCGTACGCATGAATCCGTACGCAACATTGTTCGTGCGCATCGTTCCTAAATCCCTATTTTTCATTCTTAATTTTCATATTTTTTTTTTCACAGACGATTACAAGAGTTATTTAATGAAGTTGTTGAAAAACATGGCATTTTATTTGTATCATCCGCAGGCAATAATGGACCAGCATTGAGCACAGTCGGTGCACCCGGATCAACTTGTACCAGTCTCATTGGTAGGTGAGTGGATAATAAATAAATCGTACATATACATTGTAAGTTAACATGCTGATGTATATGTATCTAATTTTAGGTGTTGGCGGATATGTAACTCCTGAAATGCAATTAGCAGAATTTGCATTGCGTGAAACAACGCCCGTGTCACCATTTACTTGGTACTAATACTTTTCATAAAATCTAATATTTTACTTTATACATATTTGTTTCTATTATTGCTAGGACTAGTCGAGGCCCTTGTAGTGATGGTTGGATGGGTGTATGTATTAGCGCACCGGGTGCTGCTATTACGAGGTAATAATAATAATAATAATAATTGTTTGATGTTGATAACTTATTGAAATTTTGTTTTTATACTAGTGTTCCTCAATTTAATCTCTGTCAAAGACAACTGATGAATGGCACAAGTATGGCATCACCAAATGCTGCTGGATGTATTGGTATGTATCAAATCACGCTCTTTTCTTAATATAAACACAATGAATATATTTAATTCATTTAGCTTTATTGTTAAGTGCATTAAAAGCTGAAAATATTCCTTATACTCCAGCTTTAATTCGTCGAGCATTAATGAATACAGCGTGTAAACCAAATGATTCAGATGAATTTTCAATTGGAGCTGGACTGTTACAAGTGAGTTGTAATTTATAATTTTTTAAGAAAACAAATTATTAAACAAACTTTTTTGAGTTTAGATTCATAAAGCCTATGATTATATTGTAACAATATCATCTGAAAGTCCCTATAACAATGTTTTGTTTGATTGTACGGGTGGTGCTGGTAGAGGAATTTATCTTCGAGAAAAAGAAGAAACAATAACAATGACACCAGACATTCGAATAACCATACGACCAAAATTTTTTACAAAACAAAAATGTTCAGCTATGCAGTTGAGTAATGTTGAAGGCAAGTGAATAGACAGGTTATTTTGTATTATGCTCTAAAATGTGTATAAAGATTCATTACCTTACAGGTGATTACTTCCAATTTTCGATATTCATAGTCTTGAGTAAATAATGGGTGAAGCAAAAGGTTTTTTCTTTTTTAGCTTGCTTCATATCTCAGTCCAGAAGCATCGTACACACTTTCTCTTTTTTCCATTAGAAAGAGCAAGTTCTGGACTACATAATATATATAACCACAGTAACCACTGACTAGTTGGCAAAAGAGATATTATTTTTACAAGACAATCCACTTAATAATCATTTGTAAAAACAATATTGTCTTCTTTCACTGAAAAATAAATTAATTTATTACTTTAAACATAGTTTTGCAGTGCACATACAAAACGACAAGAGGAGCAATTAAAATGGACAAGTTACGATGGTTTTTGAAGTAAAAAACTTCCAGTGAAGAAGTGAGATCACTAGTTTGAAATTATTGATGAATTATTGAGTAGTTTGTCTTGTAAAAATAATATCTTGTTTTCCAACTGGTCAACAGTTATCGTTGTCATATATTTTGTAGTCCATAACCTGCTCTTTTTCTAACGGAAGAAAGAGAAAGTGTATACGATGCTTCTGAACTGAGATATGAAGCAAACTAAAACCAGAAAAAAACATTTGCATCACCTATTATAATTGATTAATCGAGACAAAAAAGGGTGAAATCAAATCTAAAATGTTTGATATTTATGCATACTCTAATATCGTTTATGGCAATAATACCGAATATACGCTTAGTTTTCTAATTCACTTTTTTTTCTATTCTTTTCATAGATCAAGAATGTAAAATTCGTTTTGGATGCCATTTATCTTTGCAATGTGAACCGCAAGCCACATGGGTTCATCATGCAAAATATTTGGATGTTTCAAATATCGAACGAACAATGGATATTCGATTAGATCCTACTCAGTTGACAGAAGGTCAAGCACATTACACAGAACTACAAGGCTATGATATTGAAAAATTACAACTTGGACCACTATTCCGATTTCCAATTACAGTTGTTAAACCAATGAGGTACAACAACCAACTATAGTGAAAGAATAGTTGATTTTCTCATCAATCAATAATATTGTCTATCTAAAACGAGAAAACGAATAATTTCTTAGAAATCTACAAAATAAGAGAATTACTGCTCTCATTTGTCCCGTTTACAAATATTGACGAGAAAAAAAAAAGCGTACCTTGAAGTAAAACCAGTTCGGATTTTTAAACTTGTTCAACTGTAAATTATAGCGATATGTGCTGCAATTATTACCTCCATTTTCTTCTACTTATTAGAGGTCACAAAACATATATATTTTCTTTCTAGTGTTCGTCAAAAAGATTATGCAGTTGAATTTAATCAACAATCTTTTAAAGTTGGCCAAATTCGACGCCATTTTATTCATGTACCGCAAGGAGCCAATATAGCTAGTAAGAATATACTATTTTTGTCATTGAATAATACTATTCATAGATTTATTATGATTATTAGTATTTAAATTTATAAATCATTCACAAGATATATCGGCCGTAATGAATTTTCATTTTATCTCGTTGGAACCAAAAAAGTCGTTTCGTCTAAATGAATATGAAAAAATGGTACGAGTTAATGCACAATCAACATATGAATGTGTTTTTAAAGTACAGGTAAATGATGTCAATAAAAATGTCTAATTTTTATAAGTACAATATTAAAATTATCATTTTTCTTTGTTCTAGGAATCTCGTACATTAGAAGCGTGTGTTGCTCGATGGTGGTCAAGTTTATCAACAATCGATTCAACCTATTCTTTAAAATTTCATTCGTTCAATGTTTCACCATCGACGATTCATCTTAGTAGTACACAAGGTTATGAACGACTTGATGTACAAACTCGACTTCAACTAGAAGATATACAACCAACAGTGACATGGAAATATTTTGTACAATCACTTAGACCAACAGCGTCTGATACAAAAATTCAATGTTTGTCTCACCGAGATTTGTTACCAGGTGGAAAACAAATCTACGAACTTCTATTAACGTACAATTTTAATTTGGTAAGAATTTAATGAGAGAATCTTCCAAAAATCGAAGCTTGTTTTTCTTCATGTTGAAGGCAAATCTAATGTCCTTGTGTATTCTTATTAAGTTTTTGAATGAGTCTTTAGAAGTCTAGTCTCTAGTAGAATCAAGTGATTCTAATCTAATTCGTTTATGGAGTTCATCAAGTTGTGTCTGTGGGTGACGTTTCAGAACTATCGAATAAGTTTTAACTGAGTTATAAAAATATTAATCTCAAGTACAATGAAAGGTTTTTTTGATAGTACACTTTTTATATCTCAATTAAAACTTGTTCGATTGGTTCTGAAATATCTTTCACAGACGCAAATTGATGAGCTCTATAAATTGGCTAGATTAGAATCTCTTTATTCTCAGATTCATGATGGTTATTTAGAGACTAGATTTCTAAAGACCAAACTTAATAAGGACACAAATAGACATGAGATTTGTGATCAGTATCATGGAAAACTTTGGATCATCTGGGAAGGTAAACCTTGTAAAATCAATATTTACTAATAAATAGGATAGCATAGATTTTTATTTATTTTGTAAAAGCGTTATATTAAGCTGTTGTTGTTTTTTTAGACAAAAGCATCTGAAATTCAGCCGAAATGTCCATATTTTCATGAGTTACTCTATGACAGTGAATATGAAGCTGCACTATGGATGTGTTTTGATTCAAATAAACAATATTTAGGAGCAGGTGATGTCATTAAAGATGTAAGTGAACATTTTTTTCACTTTATATGCACTATTAATGAGTTGTTTGTTTAAATTGTTTTTTTTCTAGTATACATTAAAATTGGAAAAGGGTGATTATATAATTCGTATGCATATAAGACATGATAAAGTGGATCTATTAGAAAAAGTCAAAGATTTATCTATTCATTTGCAGCATAAAGCAAATGGAATACCAGCTTTAGAGTTTTATCAAACATTAGACGGATTACATACACAAAAGAAAAAATTTACATCATCAAAAATACATCCAGGAGTTATATGTCCAATATTTGTGACTACACTTACAGAAGACAAGTAAATAATTATAAAAGCAATAATTATTTAATTTAATGAATAAATTCAAATGTTTTTCTCTATTTTAGATTGCCAAAAGTTAGTTCAACAACGGGGGTTTTTCTCAAAGGAACTATTTCATTCTCAAAAGATGAACGAATAAAAAAAGCGGTATGCAGTAGATAACAGAGTGTTTAGTCTTGAACATGTTTTTACATCTGATTAGGATATTTGTTCAATTTATCATTATTTTAATGAGCCAGCTAGTTCATCCTCAACGTCTTCGGGATCATCTAATGCCAAAAAATCGTCTAATCCTAAAAAAACAAGTGTATTGCCTTCAATATCGACTACAACAACAACAACAGCAACTACCGATGGAAGTAATGACAGCCCTTCAACATCAAAAGATCAATTATTCCAAGAAGCATTAAGAGATTTTAAAATATCATGGATTTCAAAGTATATCAGTTAATTTGCTATTATAACGAGTGGGTCAGAAAAACCGATAATTTGATTATTTTCTTTTTTTATGACACTTCGAGAATATTTGAAAACTTGATTCTATCCAAAGACCTAAAACTAATTTTTCATGGTGATTTTTGACAAAATTTAAGATTAGGTTTTTATATCAAAAATTTGCCTCTGAAACGTCTATTTTTACACTACAAAGTGCAAAATTAAACTTTCTACAAAACGATATGACTTGTGAGTGGAAGATCAATAGATTTTTAGACGATAATCTCTCAAAGCTGAACACTAATACAGATCGATCAGAAAAGCTCGTTTTTCTGTCATTCTTTCACTTCAAATTCTCCCAAAAGGATTTATTCCAAAATTTCAAAATACACATCAGACGATGCCGAATTTTGCATCGAGTTTTTCTGGTATACTTAAAAGTTTAATATGATCTTTTTGTTGATAATTTCTGACAGTTTTCTCCTTTACTAAAGTGTCATAGTAGAAACTTTGAGCATAAAGTGTCAGAAAAAAAGAAAACAAAAATTATCGATTTATTTTGATTCATTCGTTATTCTTGTTTCAAAATCGATCTGATCTGAAATATGAGTTTCTTTCTTCTCGTCTATTTTAGATTGGATGATTCTGGTAAATTGTATGATGAATTACAACAAGAACATACTCATCACATTCCTCTCTATTTGGCACGTATTCAACAGCTTGAAGCACAATTGAAAACACAACAACAAAATAAAGAGGAAAAATTAAATCAAATTATTTCCATTGTACAAGATAAAATTTTACCAGTAATCGATGAAAATGAAGTACTCAAATATTATGGACAAAAAACACCGACATCATCAAACGGCAAAGATCTCTCTCAACTCAAAATGTAAGAATTAATTTAATTATATACTTTTCAGTTAATGTCCTATTGAGATCTATTTTGCTTATCGTATAATTTATGAGTATTTATAAACTTCATATTTTATACGTACATTTTATATTTATATCTAAACTCATATAGATTTCATCCTACTGAAACATTTTTATAATAGATTTTAATCAATAATACACATTAATCTTTGTTTTTGTGAATTTCTAGTGATATGGAAAAACGTCGTAACTGGCTCATTGATTCGAACATATTATTAGGAAATTGTTTATGTGATTTACCATCATCGACACAAGATATGAAACAACTAAATAGTATTTATAAACAATTACAAAAACATATTGATATAAATGATACAAAAGTATGTTATCAAATAAATCATATCATATTGTCTTATCAATGTCTTCATCTTTTCTAAGGTTTTAAATTTTGTTTATAAATATCATTTGGCTAATAAAAATTATGGTAAAGCAATGAAAATATTATTTAAACAATTAGAAGAGAAATCTACAAATGAACTCGATACAAAACTCTTACAGGTATTTAAAAATACATTGAATAATTATATTACTAATAAAGATAAAAAACATTTTCATAAAATACTTTGTGACTAATCAATCTGCTAATTTGATTTACTGAGTCTTATCGATTACTTACACAAACGATACACTCTTTTCATAATCAAAAATAGATTAATTATTTAAATTGAGAAAAGTATTGACTATTTTTGCACACAATGATTAATGTTCAGTTTTTAAACACACGTAATGGAAAAAAAAATTCGAACGGGCGGTATGAGTGTGCATGATCGAAGTATTGTGTGATTGAAAGATAAATTATGAGACAGATTATTATTATATAATATACAATATCTTTTTCATGTTAACATTTTTATACAGCTAGAATTAACTATTAACATTTTTTCTTCTATTTTAGTTGTATCAAATGTTAGATATTCAATATCTTGTTCAATATCAAGAACGTTTAATGTTATCAAAATATCCTACAACGTATTCGCCAATATTTTAATGTCAACATACGATGAGCAAAATATTATTTATTTTCTATCAAATATACACCACACACATTTTTTTCGATGTGATGGTATTGTCCTTTATTTAGATTGCTGTTGTACACAGCATTTTTTTTTGATCTATTCATAATTTCTTTTTAACATATTTGTATGACAACAAGATATGTCAAGATTTTGTTTGCTTTGATAAACGTTTATTGTTGGTATGTTTTTTTTTTTCTTCTTCTTCTTCTTATTGATCGAACAAATAAAACAGTTTTGCGATCATCAATTGTAGTATTGAAAAATACATATTTTCTTCAACTAACTCACTTTATGACAATTTACAAAAAAATTCTGTCGAGGGATCTATCATCAAGAACGTCCAGATAAAGAGTAGAAATAGTTTCACTTTCACTGG